ATATATATACGTATGTACATATATATATATATATATATATATATATATATTATATATATATATATATGTGTGTGTGTGTGTGTCTGTGTCTGTGTGTGTATGTGCGTGTGTGTGTCTGTGTGCGTGTGTGTGTTAGTGTGTATGTGTGTGTGTGTGTGTGTGTGGATGTATATACTAATATATGTATTATTTTAGAATCCGAAATATTCACAGAGTGGACAAATACCCGTGCGTTGCAGTAAAAGAACAGCAAGGCAGACGCAAATAGTATATCGATATTGCACAGTGCGACAACTATGCGACAGATAGTACGAAACAACCACAACCTCCGGGCAAAAATTTAGCATCCAACCTGAATGCACCCAATACTGAAACCGGCGAGATAGCCCATATGCGCAGCATAATATGACACTCCGAAGGACTGATGGAACTTACCAATGTATAGTGTACACATGTCATGACAACAGACGACAGGCGAAATAAGAGGGAAGATGATGGCTCAGTGTATTTTATTCACGTAAGATATGCCGAGACCTATAGTAAAAATTTAACAGATAAAAAGCACTAAGCAACGGAAGTGTACACACATGCAAGTCACAGTAGCCAGTGTGCCTGTGTTACTAACCTGATCGATGAACTCATTGCCACCATAGTAACGGGCACCTGGCAACCCCTCAGAGTATTTGTTAGTAAGGCAGGATCCCAGCACTTGGGAAACAGCCGCCGAAGTGAAGTTCTCCGATGCAATCAGTTCTAGACCCCTCGTCTACCAGAGATTCATTCAGCAGTATTCAAATAAAATATAAGCATCATGGTGCAACAGAAGACATCAAAACGGAGTTTTGGACAAAAAAATTCAACTGAGGTATGGAAAACACTCTTATTGAACGATTGGTAGAAAGAAACTCGCTGAGATATTGAGGTACTTTTCTTCGATATGCGCGCCAGCGTGCCCTTCTTGCACATATACAGCTAGGTGGGCGCGAAGAAAATATATTTACTGGCGCAAGGCCATTAGTATTAGGACAAATATATACACTTGGTTTGAACCTGTGAGAGAAAGTTTGGACACCAAAAAGAAACTGGAACTGTAGTGCGACAATGAAGCACGTAACTGTAGCTCTGTGTATATTTTCAAGGATAATAGCTTTCCCATAATTGTTTGTGCTTCACATGTACAAGCAGACTTCGTACGAATCTAAAAAAAGGTATCAAATCCTATCAAGATACTCGCTAAAAGTAAACGTATGTAGAATATTAGATTGCCCCTCAACGAGCATGATGCAGCCATTGTGCTAGAGCAGGCATAGTGTAGCTTCCGAATCATACACGCAAACTATGAGAGAAAATCGCCAAGAGGGGCCAGTACCAATGGTTAACGGTATTGCTCCAATGACGATTGACCTCACTTGTATGGTATGTAATAGTATAAACCGAACAAGCCCACACGTTGTAAGAAAGCTGATCAACTTTTACGAACTAGACCTCCCCTCTGTGAAGGACAAGGCCAGTAAACTCACGTTGCAGACATAACATACTCTCAATCCACACGCCCCGTTATGATACACTCGCAGAAAGAGTTGGCCAACAGACATCTACAAGACATGGCGAATGAGACAACCACCAGAAATGGCACTATAACCCCAAACACTCGCCTCTTAGATTGGAATATATGGCAGTTAATCTAAAAAATGTCATTCAAACGCGTATACATACCTGCCGCCTCTTCTCACTCTGGATAAGACTGTAAATCTCCGGATCAGCGCTTGAAATATGAGGTTGCGTAGAGCTCACATAAGCCTCACTCATCTGCGTTTCGCTGGAGAAATTGCGGTGCAACGTGGGCGCTAGTAGCTGACATCGCGTCAAGGCTCCGCGAAGTGGAATACCCCTTTGCATCATGCTGTATGTTGTATATATGTACGTAGAAACAATCACAACCTTCCAAGTACAGTAAAATTTTGATTTTTCGGCTAGCTATGTATAGACAGCCAACAAGGGTATGTACTCAACCCAGCCGAGGGCATATGATTATAAATAAATGATAGGCAAGAAGTATCTATGTGGATTGTGGTAGCTGTCTGTAGCAATCTGATGATACCCAGAGGCAAGAGCGCCATAGCTTAGTTGCTGTCACTTCGACAATGTCATTGACTCAGTGGCGACAAATGACACCAACTAGCACAAGTCGCCGAGTTTTCATTGGATGACAGGATGTACTTTTTTTTCAGATTCGAGTATATATGAACATATATGAAAAATGGATGGGAATCTCGGAACTAATATGGATTGTGTCCATTGACAGTCGAGCCAGCAGCCCCCAGTCGCATAGAGTCAGCAATAATAATAGCAACATAATTCAGTAATCAGCAAGTATGGTAATGACGAACTTCCAAGGGCTTTTATTTAGTGCGTGTGAAAGTGCACTGCTGTAGTCATATATATGGACATTTATGAAAAATGGATGGGAATCTCGGAACTAATATGAATTGTAGTCAGTGGAACCTCCATTGTCAGTCGGGCCTGCAGCCCACAAAGTCGCATAGTGTCAGCAACAATAATAGCAACAGAATTTAGCAATCAGCAAGTATGGTTTTGACGAACTTCCGAGGGCTTTTATTTAGTGCGTGTGAAAGTGCACTGATGTAGTCTTATATATGGATACATATGAGAAATGGATGGGAATCTCGGGTCTGTGGAACCTCCATTGACTGTCGGGCCAGCAGGCCACAGTCGCATAGAGTCTGCAATAATAATAGCAACAGAATTTGGCAAGGACGAACTTCCGAGGGCTTTTATTTAGTGCGTGTGAAAGTGCACTGATGTAGTCTGATAAGGCGTTTAACGACTGATAATGCTATGATTTTCTTTGACCTTGGTTCTTACACTCTGGTTTGAGGTGGGAAAAAACGCCTCGCGATCTCGGTTTTCTATCAGTACAAATACACCAATAGTTCTAGCCTTAGTTTTATACCCTAAGCATATTATCATCAATGATAATCGGCAGGTGTGACTGACATACTTTGAGGTCAGTGTGCTTGTTGAAAGTCCAACGGTGCCTAACGACCGACAGTATGTACTGCACTCTTTGACCTTGGTGCTTCAACTCTGGATTCGAGATGCATAAGAAGCGCTTCACGATCTTAGTACAGTATTAGTGTGAAAAATGTGACCGATGTACTTTGAGGAAAGTATGTAGAAGGTGCACTGAAGTAGACCACTCAAAACTTCAACGAACGACATCGTGGGTACTTCCACTTTGGAGTCATGAGTAAAGAATATACATCACGTGTATTCCAATAGTTATAGGTGAGGAGCGCACCTTCCGGGCAACGTTTTCAGTTAATACTTGTCCAACTTCGGAATAGTTCTCTAATATATTCTGTAATTTTAATTTTCAACATATGCTCTATATATTGACGTTTTGGTATTTGTATTTCTTTTTCGCGGGAGGTGCACGGTAGACTATGTCTGTTCGGATGATGATCTTTTCGCCCTTAAGCAAGCGAGACCCTTCGTGAAAGGGGTTACTATGGCAACCCTTATGATTTCCATGTGGGAAAATCAGTACATCGCCTTCTTGGGGTGCCACGTGGCCCGCAATCATCAGTTGGTCACGTGTACTCTCATCCGCCAGTGTGAACCCAGTCCCCGCTATTAAAGCTGGGTCGACTTTCTCGAAAAACGTAGTATTACCCCCTTCGAAACCATCGTTCAGATACAACAACATAGAATATGCTGAAAAACGCAGCAACCTTCCGTGTTCTGGGCCTTTGAGCTCAGCATGTTGTGTGAAGCTGCGGTCATAGTGGGGTGCAGACGAGTCATTCTTTTTGTAGTGGTAGCATCGCAGGAAGTTAGATATCTCTTCACCCTCACACTCTAACGCACCTTTGTGTGTGGGTCCAGCTAGAAGAGGAAGCACGTGCCTGATGCGTGCACATAGACCTCGCAGTGCCTTTTGAGCAACCCGTGCTGGTAGATGGTGTTGGGATGACCGTCGAGGCTTCGATTTCAGAAGATAAGATGCGTGTAAGTCCATTACCGCCTTCCGTAAGGGCGCGCATTCTTCTTTGCTTAATACATTGCGAATAATAAATGCCCCCTCTACACCTTCCACTATCTCTGCCGTAACTTGTGTATTACCTATGTTCACTTCACGGCCATGTTGCGAGCGAGATGCATCTACCGTCTCTAAAGGCGTTTCGCTGGTGTGCGACGTACTGTGTACATCGTATAAACTGACGTCGAGGTTATCGAGTGCCTCTAAGCATTCCTCGAAGACAGTATCCATATTTTTTGAATGGCAGTTTAAAAGTTCTTTCACACGCACGTTAATTGCTACTCCGGATAACAAGAGTCAGGTTGCTGTGGACGCTACAATACAGTCTTTGACTCTTTCTCTCTCTATAGTAGTGTTACGGAAGGAAAGCAAACCTAAATACAGATTTTCGAGTATGTTGAATTATGAATAACGATATCTCCATCCGCGTACAACACCCACAAATACACCGTTGCACGACAGATCTTGATCTTTGCAGCAGCGCAGTAATATTATAAATACAATATTATCTCATATTCGCATCTCTTTCCTGCGCGTGATTGACATACGGACACAGAGCGAACCGAGCCCACCGCGAGAGTCCGAGAGGGACCGATATACGGCTGATCGTTGACTAGTTGTATGTATTTTATTTTGATTTCATGGGCAGAGAGCCAGAGACTCCAAGGAGAGTAGAGTGAGAGAAGAATGGGGAAGAATTTTTTTAAATAAATAAATACTACTTTTTTTTCTTCACCAATTTTTGTCCACAATACTTTTTCAAAACAAAATACCCGATTTGAAGGAAGTCGCAGACTCAAAGACTCAGTCCCAAGAGTCGAACACTAGTAGAGAAGTCCGACTCAAAGAGTTGGAGGACTATTGCCCTCAAACCTCAGACTCTCAGTCGAGAGTAGTCAGACAAGTGAGTGGACTGAAGAGACTCTCTCTTGTCGCT